GTTGGGTCACAGGTGGATCAAGTCATCCAAATGGTCTAAAATTTATTTATTTATTTTTTGTTAGATTATTTAAAAATTAATTTTAAAATTTTTTACTTCCTAATCTAAAAGTAGAAATAAATAAAAGGTTAAAACCTCATTTTGGTTCCTGAACTATTGTACGGACCCTCGATTTGGTCCTTAAACTAAAAAAATCCCTAATTTGGTCCATACAGTTTATCATTTGAACCCCCATTTGGTTCTTTCGTTAATTTTTCACATTAATTAACGGAGGAAAACAGAAGACGCATTTCGTGCCATACAAAAATTGACAAGTTAGCAAAAATAGATGACATGGCCATTCCAACTCATCTTACCCAAAAATATATTTTTTTTTTCGTTTTTCTCTTTCCTCTTCCCTTTCTTCAGCTTCTACAAACCCTAACATCTCAACCAATCTCCAACATCTCAACCAATCTATTCATTTCAACCAATTTCTACCCTTGCTAGGTTCTTGTTCTTCATCATCATCATCAAACAAAAAAAATAAGAATTTTTTTTTTTAATTTTTGTGCCTGGGTTCGATATCAATAACAACAACAAGACACAAAATATCACAAAATGGAGAAGACGAGTGTCTAGATTAGGGCTTACATCCAATAGAGGGAGAAGCTCATTGACTGAAGGAGGAGGAGACATGAGCATGTTCCCAGCTTCCTTCAGTTGCTCTGCAAGCTCTGTATTCGAAGATGCCATGGCTACTCTTTGCACAAAAAGAAAAAAACCTAAATAGATATATCTCTAGATCCCTGACAACCTCACACATGTCCCCCCAAAATTTCATACCATGAAAATCTAAATTCAAGGTAAAGAAACAGATTTCCATCAAACCCAGGCATGCTAGGTTTCATCAAACCCAGCACCTGGGTTTGAAGGAACCTACGCCTAGGTTCCATCGAACCCAAGCATGCTCGGTTTCAAGGAACCCAAGCGTGCTAGGTTCTTTGGAACCCAGTGCCAGGGTTTTTTACGAACCCAGTGCCTGGGTTCTTTGGAACCCAGGCATGTTGGGTTCCAATGGCAAAGAGAAAAGGAAAAAGAAGAAAAAAATAATAAGAAAGAATTTTTTATTTTTTATCATATTATTTTTTTTTTCTATGTCATTATTGTAAGTCAACAAGTAAGACACACAAGTTAAAATTGTTGACAGTATGGTGTTAATGTGTGAATGTATAACGAAAGCTAATAATACATGTGCTGTACATGACCCTCCGATATTAAATTTTACCTCATTTCTCTAAATTCGAAAACATGGGTGTAAAAACTCATATTAATATAAAGGTTCAAACTCGAAAAGTTGAAGGGCAAACGGGGGACTTTTGCCTAAAGAAAATCGGGAGAAAACAGAATGAAGCTGCGAGAATTGGAGAAGGAAGGAACAACTGTGTGTTGGAAAGGGTAGAAGCTAATAACAGAGAAGAGCAGGAACTCTTCTGACGAAGTCCCAGACGGAGGAAGAGAGCGCCGAGCAAACACAGAGAAGTCTCTCAGAGAGGCTGGTGAAACGGAGAGCGGGTGACCGAGCTGCTTGGCCAGGAATAATCAGAAACAGGAAGGAGGAGGAGGGTTGAGGAGACATGGTAATTTACGTTGAAATCCAGCTTCTCTCTGGTATTGTACTTCTTGAATATTTGATAGTTTAGTCAGCGATTTATCTTTTTATGCATGATTTTGATGGAATTTCATTCATTGGTTGAACGGTTAAATGCTGTGAGTACATATTACTTCTGTTTGGGCTTTTTCATGTGCTGATGTTATTCCTCTGAATCTGATTTTTGATTTTCTTGATTATGCTTTAAAATCACATTTTCTGTGCCAATTCTGCCATACTTCATTTTCTGGCATATGGAAGCAAGTTTATCTTAAGAACTTTTAGTTTCTGTTTTGTTTTGATGGTCTTTGTGGTGTTCATGCCCTGCTCTTCCTTTCTCTCCTCTTTTGTTTCTAACTGAGGAAGAAAAAACGAAATTGGTTGTTGTTGGACTTATTAAGTGTTAGTAAGCGTTAAATCAAGTTTTATTAGGTCACTCGTCTATTGGTTTTGTACGTTGTTACATGGAGTAGGTTCTTTTGACTTTTGAATGCATGTTTAATTAGGAGATGCAAATGAGGGTGGAAAATAGAAGTAGAAAGAAGCTAGGAAGGAAAGAGGAAGTTTTGGTCAAGAAGGCTCAAAAATGATAGAGATGAGAAATGAAGAAAGAAAGTGCTCAGGGAAAAAGATTAAAAAGATGAAGGGATATAATAATCTGAGAAGGAATAGTGATGTGAAAATATGAAAAGAACAAATACCAACAAAGGTAGGCATAAAAGATTTAGAAATAAAGATCCAAAACAGAAAAGAAAAAGATGGAAATAGTAAGAAATCTATAAAGAAAAGAAAGGGAAAGAATAGGATAAAATGATTTTAGGAGAATGAAAGATGAAAGAAAATGAAGATGTGAAGAAAAATTAAAAATCTGAGAGATGAAGGAAAGAAAAGTGAGAAGCAAAGGGAAATTTGAAAGAAAGAGAAAAAGAAATTAAAAATAGCTAAGAAGAAGAAATGTAGGAAAAGATGGAAAAAAAAAATGAAGTATAAAAAATATGAATAAAAAGAAAGAAACTATGAATGAAAGGAAAATTAAAATGAAGTTAGCAAAGACTGAGGAGGGAAGACTCGGGAAAAGGTAGTAGAAAAAGACTAAATAGAAGGGCCTTTTCTTTTGAAAATGGAAAAGGAAAAAGAGAAAAGGCTAAATGAAGAATAAATGGAAAGAAAGATAAATGTCCTAAAAATATAATAATCCAAAATAAAAGATTTCAAATAGAAAAATTGATTAAAAATAAAAAGAATAAATGGATTTAATAGAATGATTTTCCTGCTTCATTAAATAAATTAGAATATCCTCAAATTTATAGTATAGCAACCATGTTTCACTAAGTCTGTGGGATGCGCTTATGCCCTTTCCCATGTGTAACTGTACCCCCGACTTGAGTACGTCTCTGTGTAGATTTTTAGGTGACTTACCCCTCCTTTTATTTAGGTAAGTGGTGATTCCGTTTCCCAACAACATCTATAGGCTTAATACCATTCGTTTTTAGATTTTGTATCAGGACTGAAGAAGAGTTTAGAACTTGACTGACTTGATTTCTCTCTTGTGGGAATGAATGGTCCAAGGTTAGGGTTGTTTGTGTTGCTGGAATCAAAGATTTTGTAGCTGTTGAATTGGTAACTCATTAGTATAGCAACTTTGGTTCAACAGAAAAGGGAAGGAGTAGAGATTGAATTTGGCAAAGGAGGCAAACAAAACATTTATTTAGACACCCATTTCTCTTAAACCATGTTTTAACTCACTAGTATCTGTATCAGGGTCAGGACTGCAAGTTACCAGGAGTGTGTACCATGTGGTTGTTTTTTAGAGAGTAGAGAATCTTAAACCATGATTTAACTTACTGGTATTATGATTCCAAGTGAGGAACAAACAACAGTGTACAATTAATTTTCAGAGGTTTTAGGAACTGAGGAAGCTTCTAGACAGTTGGAAGTTACATGCTGTAGTTATTAACTTTTCCATACAGGCTCTGTTACACTGTAAGTTCTACTTTTATTCTTGGCCTTGTGCATTTATTTTTCTCTCCTTTCTTTAAATGGGGTATGAGCAGAATTTAGCTGAGAAAATGAATTATCCACTATTCTCTGAATAAAAGAAAATTAGATCCATAATTTATTAGATGTTCACCTGCAATATGATTGATGTGTTTGTCATGCTTGATAGAGATGATTAGACTGAGATACCATGGTGAATGGTGATATTACATTGTCTTGCTGCTGCTAGCTGGATTAATATTAATACCATTTTTTTTTTCTTCAGTTAATTTGAAGAATTTTCCCTTTCTTGGTGGCTTTTAGAGGTTTGTTTTTATAATCACTAAGAATTTAGCTTCATCAAATTTGTTATAGGTAAATGTTACTGGTGTAAGGGATGTTCATTGTATGCCATATATATGCACTGTTGGTCCAAGGAGGATTCATTCCTTCTCTCCACCTTCTTCAATACAATTGATTGTGGCTTTTGCTACTACTTCTGCGAGAGGAAACAAGATACAGCTTTTTCCTAGCCAATTTCGACCCATGTTGAGAAGTGGAAGACCTAGTAAGCTTCTTTGTTCTGTTACCTTCCTACAATATTCTTAATGTGTTTGTGATCAAGATTAAAAAAAGACTTTGTGCTAGCTGTAGGAAAAAAATTATGAAATCTAACATTAAACTTTAATTGCCTCTGTTGACCTTCAAGATTAGTACTTAATTGCTTTAATCATCTAGGTTTTCGAAAACTAGAGATCTTATTCTTTACTGCTTAATTATATGTTCACAAATGAATGGCCCATAATTTAAGACCATTGCAGGAGTCTATTGCATCTTTTACATATTTGGTGCTGTGATTACAATTTGCAACTTCATTTTCTAGCTATCTTTGTTCTACATGATTTAAACTATTAAGATTTATATTTTAGGTGACATTTTTCTGGATCAGTTGGTTTTAGAATTAATTAAGCTGCAGCATTGTACTAAAAAAAAGAGATTTCAGCAAAAACTTTACTTTTATGTGGGCTGCTATCATTCTTTATCTGCTTTATTGTAGAAATTTAGTTTCATGAAGATCTAATTGCTTATTAATCTAGTGCAGCACCTTTTGTGCAAAATTTGCCTTTTTTGTCATTGATTCCTTGTCAAGCAAAAAAAGATGACACAGAGGAAAGCCTAAGTGGTGAAAACATCATATCAGTAGAGCAAACCTTAAGACGGAATCTGCAAATTGCCATTGAGGAAGAAAACTATGCCCAAGCAGCAAAAATTAGGGATAGCCTCCGAACACTTCATGAAGATAGCAAAGCCTCAGTTTTGGCTGCAAATTCTAGGTTTTATGATTCATTTAGGAAAGGGGATCTTGCCAGCATGCAAAACCTTTGGGCAAAATTGGATAATGTGTGCTGTGTGCACCCGGGTGCGAATGGGATAACTGGTTATGACTTTGTCATGGAAAGTTGGGAAGTTGTATGGATGAACTATGAATTTCCCCTTGAGATTGAGTTGAAAGATGTCCGAGTTCATGTTAGAGGAGATGTAGGATACGTTACCTGCATGGAATATGTTAAGACAAAAGGTAGCAGTTGGGGTGGACAGTTTGTGACAAACGTATTTGAGAGGATCAATGGCAAATGGTTTATTTGTATTCATCATGCTTCTCCTGTTGACTTGTGAGGACATCAATTCAAATTCTCATCTCTAGGAAACTAGACAGTTACAAAGAAAGGGTCGTCATCTCCCTTTGCACTTGATGACTTTGATCAATTTGTTTGTGGATTCATCTTTGTGATTTTGTATCGCAACAGAGTATTTCTTAACACTCGTATTTTCCTTTGGTATTTTCTTAAGATTTGTGTTTGGTTCAAATGCAAATCCACATATTTATGGTAGTAGTTGTGGCAGCATGCGGAACTGCACTGGGATATTCAATTGCGTAGTCCAACCGAAAAGAAAGGCTCTAAGCTGAGACCTCAAAGGAGGCTGGACAAATGGGTCGGGTCAGATTGGGTCAATTTGGGTAATGAGTCATTGTGGATCAGGTCTAAATAGGTTACGGTTGCTGACCAAACCTGACCCAATATGGGTAAGGGTCAACTTGTTGGATCTGCGGTTGTGAAAATGAACCAAAATCTAAGCGTGTTTATGAGAAAACCCAAGGGTGTGTTTGGCATTGAAAAATAGGGTTGGTTTTTTTATCTTTATTTCCATTAAAAAATAGAAAATGACTAGAAAATTTATTTGGCAAATGAAAATGAAATTATTTTTTGGAAACAAAAAATGAAAAATGTTGGAAAATGGAAAAACACTCAAGTTGATTTCCAAAATTGAAAAATATGGAATTCCTTAAGTAGAACAAAAAAATCGCATGGAAGGACTTGTATGAAACAATTAAAAATATGTGGGTTAAAACTTAAACTTGTTTATAGTTAAAGTTTACCACATATAAAAGCTAAGCAGTTCATTAGTAAACCCTAGATTTAAATGACACTTCAATAGCTCCTTTCCATCATCTCTAATGGTTTGCTCTCCCCATATCTTTGGTGGCTTCCCCTCTTTGCAATTTCATATTCTATTGCAATTAAATTACATGAAACTAAAAAGGAGTATGGTACCGAAATCAAAGAGTAGGAAACTCAAGAAATTCTTCCTTCCACCAACACCCATGGTTCTCGGATCTCCTCTCTTTTTTTCTCTCAACCTTCCTTGCTCTCTCTGCTTTTTTTTTTTTTTTTCTCTTTGCTCTCTTACTTGAAATCTCTCTCCCTTTATAGGCAAAATCAAAGGATGAAGAAACAAAATCCCAACCATTTGATTGCCCTCCTCCACTCTCATTGATACCAAGAACTAGAATAAGGAGAAATAAGGAAGCAAAAAGCCTCGATATACCTCTAGTAATCAACACAAGGAAGATCTAGTACCAATTTGAAGAAAGACCTTCGATATATTAATTAAATAACCCAAAAATGTAGCCAAGTTCCTTAGAGAATTATAGAACAACAGTTAAAGAGGAAATAGGAAAATACGTAGACAAAAAATAAAAATGACTCACACTGTAGTACATAACCACTGTGTTGTGCACTAGCTGTTGCACATACTAAGAAAGATAAAAGCAATGATTACAAGTAAAACAACAATGATAAACGATACACTAAGGACTTGTTGACACTTGCCATGTTGCCTTTTTAGACACCTAGCACCTTGCTTTATCATAACTAGCTTACCATTTTCCACATATCAATTCCTACCCCTAGAGCAAATCCTCGTCCTCAAGGATTAAAATTTGGAAGTTTCTTCTACAAATCATATGGAAACTCCCAAGTTGCGTCTTCAAGAAAAGAATTTGACCATTGAACTAGTACCTTTGTGGCTACTTGTCGATTCCTTTTCACTATTTTCCTGTCCAAAATAGCCTCAGGTTCTCTTAGAAAAAGCAGGTATATGTTGGTCGATAACTAGGTGGAAACAAGAACACTTTCTCCAACCCTTTTCTTCAATTGAGAGACATGCACCACTGGATGAATTTGAGAACCTACAGGTAGGGCTAGCTTGTATGCAACCTTACCAATTCTATTAACCACTTGAAATGGACTAAAAAACTTGGGTGAAAGTTTGTGGAAACTTTGATGTTGCATTGATTCTTGCTTATAAGGTTGCAATTTAAGGAACACCTAATCTCTAATATTTAACTCTTTGTCCTGTCTATGCTAGTCAAGTTAGAGTTTCATTTTATGTTGAGCTTTGTTCAAATGATGCTTTAGTGTTTGTATCATAGCTTCCCTTGCTTGTAAACTTTTATCCACTGACGCAATGTCTAAATCACCAGATGTAATACTAGGGATTATTATTATTATTATTTTAAAATTTAAATAAATTATTTAAGCCCTTAGTGGATGTATATGTGATTGAATTAAATTTGGGGTTAAAATTATAATGAGGTGAGGAACTCAGGGACTAAAACCTTATAGTTAAAGTTTAGGGACTAAGTGGTAATATTCCCTTTTTGTGAAAACCCCCAAATCAAATTGCGTCGGTAGTATCGTTGGCAGTTTTGTTTTTTTTTTGTTCTTTCTTTTTGGGAAACATGATCGATTTCTTTCTCTGGCCAACGAGGGGGACTTTAGGGACCGGCCATATTAGACTAATTGAAGGCTCCGAGTAGTTGTGTGGAATTGTAATTGAAAGATAGTTATTGAGGTAAGTAGCTATGCCCTCTAGTGTTTTTAAAATAAATCGATATATTTAAATGGGTTTTGCCCAGATTTGATTTATTTATCTATTTGATTATTTATTGATCTATTTCTTAGAGAATGATTTTTATTAAATATTTTTAATAATGGAATGAAATGATTTGTGGATCAAGTATAATATTTTTTATTTAAATTTGAGATGAGATCTTGACCATGTGGAGGTGGCTAATTTAAATTTGTTTTCTCCAATATTATTGAAATTGTTATTTTTGGAACGGTTTCTTTTATTTGTCCTGGCTGGATGGTTCACCTTGGTGAGGGTTGAGTTGTTAGTATTGTGATAGACCCGGGATCTATGGATTGTGAATTATGGATTGTGGATTCTGGATTCTGGATTCTAGATTCTGGATTCTGGATCGTGTATTGTGGATTGAGGATCGTGTATTGTGGATTGATGATTGAGTATCATTGATCGTGGATTGTAGATTGTTGCACAACCATAAGGGATGAATAATGAAATATTCTAGTTTCAAGGAAAGAATTGTATTTCTTTTATCGTTTCATTTTCAGTAAAAACTCAGTTTTAAATTTTTATGCTTGGTTGTGATGGATGGGTATACTACTTATAGAGTTCTTAAACTCATGTTTTCAAATTTCATCTCATTTCAGGTGAAGAGGTATAAGCATTGGGATTTGCATGGGGATTGAGAGATCATTAGAATAAATTGGCGGAATTTAGCAATATCTCAATTGGAAGTTTGTTTGGTTTTATGGAATAAGATGTTAAACATTTATATTTTGGTTAAGGGATTTGATATTGTTCTTTGGAGACTATTAAGATTTGTTAATGGAATTGTTTATTTTAAAATTGCAAGGGAGATTGTATTAATAGCCAAGGAAAAATGGCCTTACACATTTATAGGGTTAATTTATAGATGTGTGGCATTTGTTATGCCTAAACCTTTGGGTTGGGGCGTGACAAAAGAAATATAAGCTATGTGAATAGAAATGAGATAAGCATACAAAGCTTTAAATGGAATGATATTAGTGGAGTGGTAATTGGTGTTGTACCACCATTAAGCTAGTGCTAACCACTTGCTCCAATCTTGGGGTTGGTCTCCACTCATGCAACTCAAATAGGTTTCCAAACAATGATTTACTACTTCAATTTGCCCATCAGTTTAAGTATGATAAGCTATTGAATGTTGTAACTCCGCTCTTTGAAGCTTAAATAACTCTTGCCAGAACACATTGAGGAAGACAAGATCTCGATTTGACACTATAGCTTGAGATAGTCCATAAAGTTTGAAGATGTTATCCATGAACACTTGAGCAAAGTTAATGTCGAATAAGATGTTGAAGAGCACTGAAGTGAGTATGCTTGCTTAACCTATTTACCACCACAAAAATCACTTCCTTTCCATGTGACTTTAGAAGGCCTTTTACAAAATCCATGTTAATGTGGGTCTAAAATGCTTTTGGAATTGGTAGTGGTTGTAATAAACTGGGAGTAAAAGAATTTTCATATTTGTACCTTTGACAAATATCACATCCTTATATATATTGTTTGATGTCCCTCTCTATGCCTTTCTAGTAAAATAGCAACGATAGTCGCTTAGTAGTAGCATAGTAGTAGTATACACATGAATGACCACCTAATGCATTGTCATGAAAAAACTTTTAATCAATTTCTATTAAGAGTGAGATCATTTCCTACAACCAATCTACCATTTTTCCTTGGTTGTTCTGCCTAGTGTAGGCTGTATTTGAAAAAGTATTTTATTACCTTTTCTTCACCACTTCTTGTAAAAACATATCATGCTCCCAGCTTTGAGTTATTTCATGATAAACCTTTGGTGATATCGTGGAGACAACCATAGTCATAAGCTTATAACTAGGCATCTTGGATAATGCATCTGTAGCCATATTGTCCTTTTCCTTTTTGTAACTTATGGAAAAATCATATCCCATCAGTTTAGTAAGCCATGTTTGCTATAAGGGAGTGTTAACTTTCTCATAAACCAATAATCCAAGGTGTCTAGGAGATAAAGCCTTGCTAATAAGGGCAACAGGGTGTCCTTACTCCATCAAAATTGCTCATATGCCTTCCCTAGATGCATCAGTCTCTCCACCAGAAATTCCCTTGAAGAATTTGATAAGGCTAGTACTAGTGTTGAAGTCAACCTTTTTTAGAGTGTGAAAAGCATCCTTGGCTTTTTGGTTCCACTGGAAATTCTCTTTAAGCAACTTAGTTAGAGGCTTACTTAACCCTTCATAATTTTTGGTAAACCTCTTGTAATACCCTGCCAAGCCTAAGAAACCCCTCAATTCTTTAACATTCCTAGGTTGTGGCCACTTAAGGACAACTTCAATTTTCTTAGGGTCAGTAGATACCCCATGTTTGTCAATGAAATGCCCCAAATACTCAACTACTTCCAAAGCAGCATTTATTCTTCTTTACATATAACTTATGCTGTCTTAGTAGTTGAAATACCCTTTCCAAGTATTCCACATGCTCCTTAAAACTTCTATTGTAAATTAGAATATCATTAAAGAAAACCAATACAAATTTTTAAGATAAACCTTGACACCTCATTCATCAAGGATTGGAAGGTAGATGGCACATTAGTGGGCTTGAAGGGCAGCACCAAGTACTTATAATGCCCTTTATGAGTTATAAAAGATCTATCTTAAAAAAGATCACTACACCTTGTAACTCGTCAATTAATTCCTCAATCAAAGGAATTTGATATTTATCCTTCACAAGTTATTGGTTCAATGCTTTATAATCTACATATAACTTCCAAGTTCCATCCTTCTTTTTAACTAGCACCATAAGTGAAGTAAAAGCGCTCACGCTAAGTTGAATAATCCCTGCATTCAACATTTCCTACACCATCATTTCAACAATATCCTTATGAACACCAACATACCTATAAGGTCTTTGGTTAATAGGTTAAGTGCCTTCCTTTAGTTGAATTTTGTGGTCATGTCCCTTACATAGAGGTAATGATTTTGGCTCTTCAAATATATCTTCATACTTTTGTTGCACCATATCCAACTCCCTATTCATTGAACTAAACTGATATTTCCTTTTTTGTTTAAAAGGCTTACCATACTCTTATTAGTCACCATTTTGAGAGATACCTAAGAGGACCCTCATAGTACAAATTTATGGTTATCTAGATTTTAAGAGTTTTGAAATTCTAGAATATGTCACTTAAAGTTTTTAGCCATTGAATACCAAGTACCACATCAAACCCTCTTAAAGGTAAAAATAAAGGTGTTTGTATGGAAAGGTTTTCCTTCAACTACCAAGTAAAGCCAGGACATATATGCAAACATTCCAAAGAGCTTCCATTTGCCACATTTACTCTCAATGACTCTACCTCCTACAATTGACACCCAACTCTTTTAGCCACTTCGACATCTAGAAAATGGTGGGTACTACTTGAGTCAATTAGTATATGAATAGGTTTTGTGTTCATATAACCCATGACTCTCATTGTTTTATAGGTTGTACTACTTATTTCATTGATGCCATGCATTGATATATGTGTAGTCTCATCAGTAAGTTCTTTTATAGCCTCCTTGTAAACTTTAACCTCTTGTCCTTCATCATTGTCCATTACTTCGATTGAGTGCAGCTGCATCAACTTGCATTTGTTCCTTTTTGTGAATTCTCATCACACCAATAACACAACCCCTTTTACCTTCTCTCTTTCATTTCTTGTCTGGGTATTAGTCTATTGGATTTGGTGGTGGTAGGAGGTGCTTTTGAACTTAGGGTAAAGTATTTAAGAGAGTTTAGGCTATTGGTACTCTTAAAAGTTAAAGATGTGTTGGGACAAGCTGTAGTTTTTTGTGTGGGTGTTTTAGGAAGTATATTTAGAGTGGGAAGTAAAGGTGTGGAGTTTCTTGGGTGGTTCTTTTTTTGAACCTTTTGGTTGGAGGATTCTTGTAATCAAGCCAAGGCAAAGGCATCAAAAAGAATTTATGGTTTGAACATTCTCACATGAATCTCTATCTCCATTTTTAACCCACTGAGGAAAAAGCTAATAGTTTGTTTCTCAATCATGCCTGTTTTGGGAAAAAGGGTATCAAACTGTTCTTGGTATTCTTTCACAAACCTAGTTTGTTTCAACACTATTAGATCAGCCATGGGATCCTTATATGCCTTCTTCCTAAATCTAACATTCATTCCCTCTACATATTCCTCCCAATTAGACGAGTCGATCCCCTTTTAATTCCAATAATGTATGGTGCCATTTCATGGCTTTACCCTCCAGATTAATTGAAGCTAAATATGCTTTATGCTTAGTGAGGGTTCTATCAATCCTAAAATACTAATTTCATTTATATAACAAATCTTCTAGCTTTTCCCCATTAAACTTTGGAAATTTAATTTTAGTAGCTTTCGAGGTTAAAGGACCAATACTTGCACTTTTTTGTGATGATAAAGCCTCTAGTTGTGCCATCACCTGAGATTGTTACAAATTTAACCCAGAGAGCTTGGTGTTTAGATCTGAGACTTGCTTATCATACCTTTCTTCTATGGCTTGTAGGTGTTGTTCATGAAGCTTAGTCATTTCTACTATGATAGATTTCATAGCCTCGTTAATCAATTTCTTCTGTTCTTAAGATTTAGTTTTCATGGTGCCAAGAAGGATGGTCTGATACCAAGTGATACCAAGAAACAAAATAAGGAGAAATAAGGAAGCAAATATACCTCCAATAATCAACAAAGGGAAGATCTAATGAAGAAAGACCTTCAATATATTAATTAATAACCAAGAATGTAGCTAGGTTCCATAGAGAATTGCAAAGCAAAAGTTAAAGAGGAAATAGGAAAATACTCAAACAAAAAATAAAAATGACTTGTGCTATAGTACATAACTATTACACGTGCACTAGTCATTACACATACTAATAAGGATAAAAAAAAAAAAACAATTACAAGAAAAACAACAATGATAAACAATAGACTAAGGACTTGTTGACACTTGGCATGTTGCCTTCTTGGACACCTAGCACCTTGCTTTATCATAGCTAGCTTGCCATCTTCCACGCATCACTCTTTTGTTCTTCCTTTATCCTTGCTGCCCACCTATAGTCCCTAGAATCCTTACAGCTTGTATCTTGCTCCAAGACTGTGACTAGAAGGGATGTATAGGTGACAACGCCCCAAACCCTACAATTTGATAAGTTGAAAAGGGCGGTCGAAGTAAAAGACAAGGTTACGTGTTGGATTTCACATGGAATGGAAAATGGGTGAGGGAGGATGGTGGAGGAATCAGTCGGATTGCTAACTACTCCCTTCAACAAATTACGGGGTAGGGCTTGAGCCCTACTCACTTTATTATTATTATTTTTATTTTGTTTAGCCCAAAATGACGTAGATTAGGTTGACTCTTGCGTTTAAATCCTTAAGTTTCACTTGCTTGACAATTAGTCTTCCAATTCGTTCTACAAACAAAGCCTCCACTTTCAAAATGTATTCAATTGAGTATATTGTTGTCAATAAACTCAAATAAGTCTTGACTTCCCTTCGGCAAATTTTGGTATTAATTCTCCACATTAAATGAAAGCTAAAAATTGTACAATTTTTCATTTTAAACTTGAAAAATAGTGAGGAATTAATATCTAATGTAAAAATCAAGATATTTTAAAATATTTGAATTAGACAAATATTCATCAAGTTTATGAAAAATTTTCTTGTAAAATGGAGACAAGAAATTTAGGTAAAAATTTAAGTAGAAATTTAAGTTTCGACAATTTTAATTGCAAGAACTTA